AGTAGCAAAAAGGTAAAACCTATAAGGACTGAAAATATATATTAAACAAATTTAACGTAAATCTTAGAAAGGGAATCGAGAGAAATGAGTAAAAGAGACGGTCTAAGATCGTACACGTGGCAGAATGGGGTCCGATAGTAAGACTAAGGAATTTGTAGGGACATGTTGTTTAATTTCGTGGGGAAGGGGTCACACAACACAATCTCTTAAAAAAACAAAACTAGGGTTTCTTCTTGTTAGGTCCTTTTTCCTCATCTTGTTTCTCTTGTGCAGTCAAAAGGAAAAAAAAACCAAAAACGAGTGGAAACATGGCAGCTACATCTCTTTCAATCACAAGCTCAATCCTTTCCTCATCTCATTCCTCCGCAAATCATCACTTCCTTTCCCGACCATTCGCAATCCAATTTCCCTTTCGCTTTATTGCATCTTCCTCAACTCTCAGCCACCGTGCGATCCACCTTCCTCCCATATCCGCCGTCAAAACTCCGAAAAAAATCAAAAAGATTGGTTCCGAGATCACTTCTCTGACCCTCGAAGAAGCTCGCGTCCTTGTCGAGTACGTCCACGACAAGTTCGGTGTTTCTTTGGTCTTTTCAGCGACACCTACAGCGACAGCTATCGCTCCTCTTGGCGGTGAGGCTTCTTCTGGTGTGTAGAAGCAGACCAAGTTAGATGTGGTTATCAACCAAGAGGCGGCTTCTGTTGTGGAGAAGCAGACCAAATTCGATGTGGTTATCAACCAAGTCCCATCGAATACGCGTATTTCAGTGATTAAAGCGATTAGGGCTATGACTAGCTTGTCATTGAAAGAGGCGAAAGAGTTTATTGAAGAACATCCAAAGACGTTTAAGGAAGGCGTAACGAAAGATGAAGCAGAAGAAACTAAGAAACAACTCGAAGAAGCTGGCGCTGAGGTTTCCATTGTTTAAGTTTTTACAATCAGACTTTTTTTTTGTTTTGTCTTTTTAAACTTTAAAGTGTTCACACAAATGATTTATCCATTGGTCGGAAATTAAAAAAAAAAAATTACTATTAGAAAATATACTCTTTTCCGACGGATATCTGACCGAGGGAACGAATCCGTCATGCGATATTATTCTTAGACACATTTCCAATGATTTTCTTAATCCAAAAATTTCGATGGATTGAGTTTTTCGATATTCCATCATAATATTGTTTTTGAAACTCACCAAAAAAATTTGAAATCAAAATGTATCTCACAATTTTTGTTTATACAAGAATTCATTTTTTGTTTTGTTTCTTCACAACTCTAAAATATACTCTCTCAAAAATCGTCTCACTCTTTATTTAAGGTCAACTAAGATTAGTTGTTTTCGTTATTGTAAATTTAAAAGCTTACGTAGAAAC